CCGGGCTTCATTGCACAAATGCAGTAAGAGGTAGTGCAAAAGATATGACCTGACGGCAACCATCTTTTCCAGAAACTTGAACCTTCCTCCCCTGAACTCCAAGTGAATCTGCATAGAATATAATACAATTACCTACCACAAATTCCTGAATGAGATAAATGATTGGGAAAGGGGAAAAAAAAAAGATACACATAACCACCAAAAAAGATTAAGAAGCATTACACATAGTATGATGGCTCAGAAAAAGGGAAGGATTGTTGCTACCTTGGTTTAAGCCAATAACTTCTCTATTGCTGAAAATCAAATATGTTTCCTGACTCATACTTCTCAAATCAGATCCAATTAACAAGGGAGCCTGCATTCACAAGTTCACAATCTTGACAACTGAGAAGACATGGCTATGCCCATAGTTTGTGTCATCTATTGTGACACTTCAAGTTTCTCGATGGTTGGCTTTCAACAATTACGGCCACAAATAACAAAGGTAAACATAAAGGATTACCTTCATGTCATAGATAAACTAGTTAACAATCTCAAACTGATCAGATTGTAAAAGAAAATGTTACCAGCAGTAAACTTTCCTGCCCATGCAACAAATGGAATGGAAAATACTATATGACAAGAAGGTGATTACTAAAACCATTTGGTCATATACAACAATCCATGAACAAAGCAATTGAAGTGACAGAGAAGGGGAAGGAAAAAGAACAACAGAACTTAAAAGCAACACCTTCATTAATGCCCAGATGCTAAAGTGACTACGGTATTCCGGGAAAGTCATGCCACCATTGCCAACTCCAGCATATCGGGTCTGTCCAAGAGAGATAACATGCAGAATAAACAAGAATGGTTATCAACTGGTTTACAGAAATTACTAGAAAAATACATAAATTTTACCATTCCATCCTCCAGGACCAGCATAAGCTGCCCACTTGTCATTCAGATCAGCAATAGTTGTCATGCTGGACAAGAAAACCATTTTTTATCCGTGTACAGCCACCTTGTCAGAAAATTGTTGCTATTGATGTATAGTTTTCCATGGTTGTAACATGAATAATAACAATTTATATATATTAAATCCAATGACAAAGCTTGTTATTGATATGGGATGAGACATAAAATTATCATGAGCGTTATCACAAAGTCCATAACACAAAGGGCAAAGCATTTGGGATCGATACTACAAACTAGGAGGTTGAAATGGAGGAAGGCGTTATTTAAGATGGTTTGTTATGTGCAAAGAAGGCCAACGGAGATGCCAGAGAGGGGAGCAGATAGTCTTTAGCCCTATAAAGAGATGTAGAGCGGGACCAAGACACTTAACGAAGTCATCAATCAAGATCTTTCAATGAATGGTATATTGCCCACTTAGTAGGATAAGATTTTGTTATTCTCATCCGAGAATAATTTTCATCACATAAATACATACTTTCAGTGGGATTGCATCAAGTATTTATATTAGTCATCCTGAATTTTGTTATAGACGTTGAAATACCATATTCCAGAAATTAGAAAAAAATGCAACGCCAACTCTATGGTAGTGCCATTTCTACCACGGTGATTCTGTATATCCTTTAATCATAAATAGTCACAGCCATAACCAATACAGGCCCTCGCAACTGGTGAATGTTCTCTCTAGTTTTCTCAAGCCCCTATTATATTTCTCCAACACAATCTTGACTGCGTGTGTCCTTCATAATCCTCTCAGATCAATTGGCTCTCGTACCAAGAGGCATGTCAAAGTCTTACATAAGAAATGATTCACTAAAAAGCTTATTTAACTTCCACTAATATGTATATCAGTTAACAAAACTGAATATAACAACCTCCTTATTCCCTCTACTAACAAATTCACTTAATCAACTTGTTCTATCTCCAACTTATTACAGTGTCACTACTCAATAAGGAAAGTCTGATGATCTGATCGGTCTTAGGTTGACTACAATAGCAAACCTTAACGTAGATGACAAGATTATTCGGAATAAGTAAAATTCATATTTCAGAAAACACTAAATTTCAAATTACTAACCATATTCACCCGATAATTTAAAATTCCCAGTGTTACAGCCCTATTACTATATAAAGGGCTCTCCTTTTAGATATAGTATTATAATAGGTGCCTGATGATTGAATGAACTCTTTTTAGATTACAATGTACTACCCAGTAATTCCGATATCACATCTTCCACACGCACTTTGTCAGCATATTACTGGAACAGCATTTGATAGAAAACAATCCCAATATAATTTAAAAAGGCAGCAATCAAGGGAATCAAGCTAACGTCCAAGATAATTTTTATTTCCAGTTAGCCGCAATTATCTAAAGTGCCTTTGTACCAAACTAAATTTCTTCACCACCTATTAGTCAAAGTCCCGAGTTTTCACCTGACCCATGAATCATTGATGTCATCAGTTGTGCGCCAACTGTTTCCAACCTTGCCTGCCCATAAAGCAGGGTCATCGACACCCCTGTAGAACAAAAAGAAAAAAGATGCATGAAAAATCAACTGTCAAAACCAACAAATATCAAACGATAGAACAGACAGCTGAATACCATTCACATAGTGAATAGAAAATTGCACGTCCAGATGCATTCAGGGCATCACGCATTGGTGGGTATCTGGAAACATAGGGAAACACTATCAATTCACACGTGCTAAGCGTTGCTTCGTTAGCAACTACCTTAGACTGCAGATACCTTTTTTTTGGCGGGATGCCCAGATTGTAGCAGTTGTCATACTTCAAATAATCTATATCCTGGTAAAAGAAGTGAACCAAAATGATGCAATGATGGAAACATAACATCTATTGATTTTTTTTTTTTTTTGGGGACCAAATAACATCTATTGACTCAAAACATCACCAATGCAAATGAAATGTCTAGCTACAAAAGAATGACTCCAGAAGCACCTCAAGATAGGCGTTCAAGCTCAGTCTATCTTTGAGCATGAAACTACTCTTTCAACATTTTTGAAGGAATAATGTTCACATGTCCTAGTTAGGAACATCAAATGATGACAACAAATTTCAGGAATGACTTGATTATTTCTTTATGACAGTCTGAATTAATGCTGTGGCTCTGATTGTGTGCCACTTAATATAAATACATGCATAGAACAACACAAAACCAACCTTTGGATTTTGCATTAACCCAAAGGCCATCATGACAACCAAACCTGAACTGATCCAAATTTGGGTTTCACAATGGTTCTAATGGGAACTTCAATCTCAACTCTCAGCTACTGTTTTTCTTTCACACAAGTGTGCTCACATACCAGCACATGAATCCTAAAAGTTATGTGATGATACAAAACTAATTTATATCAGTTCTAGTTTGCTATCATAACATGAGATAATGGTAACTAACCCAAGAGGCAAATGTGTCTGCATCATCAACTTCATGGAAAAGTGATCCTGGTCGGACTTGACATGTAAATACCCTAATACCAAGAAAAAGAATATTAAGCAGGTAATTAAAAGTCACTTGGACACATTCAATATGAGCATGTTTAATTCTGGAATGGATTTTTCAAACATCTGGCTAGGTTTCATTATATTATCCATCGTACCCTGCATCAGAATATATACCAAGCTTAAGCCCCTTTTTGTGTACATAATCTGCAAGAGCTTTGATTCCTGATGGAAAAGTCTTAGGATCAGGGACCAGTTGACCCTACAGAACCAAACAAACAACGTAAGAAGTAAACAAATATTTATGTAAAGCCATAAGAATCAGATGGGCCCAAGGCTGGGAATCCAACTAACACCAACATTAATGGTATTCTGAAATTCTGAAATATTCCTAAAGGGGAAAATGGATGAGGTGGTAAAATCAGGGCATGAATATCATTAACTCACCTCATCAAGCCGTTTGAGGGTTGGTGAGGCGGAAGAGAGAGTATGAGTTTGTTGGAAGGAATAATATCGCCCCCCCCCCCCCCAAAAGGAAGGCTGGAGGCAGAGTACGAAGATTCATGGAAGGTTTGCTTGGAGATCCCCAAGCCTCTTGAGCTAGGAAAACACATCTCTACTGTTCCATCTGTTTCTTTGTAATTTTCTCTATTAACAGTAATGTTTATGGTCCATTCTGCTGTTGTTTCATAGATCAGCCTTTTTCACTGAAACAGTGGAGAATTTTTGCTGTCTTCTTACTTAAATAATATCAAAATTATCCAAAGGTTCTATCAGATCTTTCATTCACATGGAAGATGAACAGAGTGTGTACAAGCTTTGCTACTTTATTAACCATCAGGATCAGCCACTACGGAGCACAGATGAGCGATTAAAGTATAAAGAAATTATTCCCTGCTCCCGTCATTCAAGGCCTAGTGACTCTTGTAATTGAGAGGGACAGAGAGCTTGAAGGTTCTATCAGATCTTTCATTCACATGGAAGATGAACAGAGTGTGTACAAGCTTTGCTACTTTATTAACCATCAGGATCTGCCACTACGGAGCACAGATGAGCGATTAAAGTGTAAAGAAATTATTCCCTGCTCCCGTCATTCAAGGCCTAGTGACTCTTGTAATTGAGAGGGAAAGAGAGCTTTAAGGAAAGCATCACTTCAGGATTAAAGATAACTAACTATACGGTAATTTAATAGTTATATCAATTTAAGGTTTGCCACATTAACAAGATGCATTAAATGCTAATAGGTACAATTATTTTAACATCCAAGTGAAAGAACAATGTCATACGATAAAAAGAAGGATGATGGCCTAGAAGATTGTTCCTGCTGATTTAATTTTGCTTGAAAGGAACGTGATTCAGCTTACCTTTGAATTTCTTGCTGCAGAAGACCAGCAATCATCTACAGTAAACAATATCAAAATGAGTCCAAGAGTTAGAAAATAATGTTTCATTGAGAAGATGCTAGAATAATACCTATGTTGACGTACACATAACCTAAATCAGCCAAACCCGTTGATACAAGTGCATCAGCTGGATAAACAAAAGTCATATCAGTAAAGTTAGTTACAAACCGGTGAGGGTAAAAGCAAAACTATCATTATCACTCCATCAGTGAGACAAAATATCACACACCATCTTAATCAATAATACCATTTAGTTGTTTAATAAAAGGATATCATTTGCTGAAAAGGTGCTTTATTTGTGGCTTTGTGCAGTGTTCCTTGATTTTCAAAAACGTAAATAAATAAAAACAAATAAGCATCTCTTCCTCTGCAATGCCATTGGCAACATTCTCACAAAAATGTGCATTACTAGATTTATGCTTTAATTGAACAGTCCAAGCAAAGACTGTAGCAAGTAAAAGGGAAAAAATTATTCAGGTCTGGTACAAAATTTACGACTGAGTGCAGGGCACGAATGCTTGTGTGCATAATTTGTAAATATAAATATCAAGTACAACCATGATATATATATGTTCTAAATAAACTAGCAACAGGTAGCATACTAAATACAAGTTCAAGTTCAAGTCATACATAGCAAAACTAACAGAGAGGAAGAAAGCAACAATTTCCAACAACACAAACTCATGAATATCAGATCTTACACAGTACCATAATGAGATAAATATGCGCCTGTGATCTCTGAAGCCTCTTAAGCTCTAACTTAATTAAAAATCCACAAAGTCCTTCACTCATTTATTGTTTTCAAGTAAGTATGTGTCATACCAGGAATGAGGAGTTATATGAAGCATAGGCAGAACAGTAGACTAAGGGAGCCAGGTCCACCCCCAGCCAAAGGAAATGCTTCTGAATACATTAGCTTCAAGAGAATTTGTCATTTCTCCCTTTCTTATAAATTTATTCTATCCCAACGCAAGAAAGAAAACTCTTTCTTATCCTTTAATGTCTATGTGCAGACTAAAATTAAGTTTCACAATTTTCTAGTAATTGTATTTCAATAAGCCTTAGATAAACTTTGTTTTAACAAAGTAAGAGATAAGGATATTATGTTTAACAAGTCCAGGTTGGAAATTACGTATAAGCACATGCATGCTTATAAAGAGTATTTTCAGAATGAAATGCACTTTAGTTGCTGTCCTTTGATGAGTGATCACCGTTTTGTGTCACTTTATGAGAAAAAATAACGAGACTTCTTCACCATATTGAACAATTTTTTTTAATTTAGAGTCCTGACAGCCCCCCAAGTGGGGCGCACTTATTCATTGTTTATACAGTTACATATTTCGCTATCTGTCATCTTTCCTTGGTTGGAACCACTAGGTGGGTAGATTCGTAATTGGCTTTCAACGAAAACAATCAATATGGTTGGGATAAGTCAACTAGCAGGCTTCTTTACACACACACACACACACTCTACGTCCCGCGCACATTATTTCTTTAGTTTATCAGCAGCTCAAAAGATTTCTCTTGCTTATGAGACACCAAAATCCGTCACGTATATAGAAATTTATCAAGAAAATGGAAAGAATGCGTAAATAAACTGTTGTGCAGAGGCCAAAAAAGAACCTGTCTCCTTAATGACTGTTTCATTAATATTGCAGGCAAAGAAGTTCCAGCTATTCCACCTACAAAAAGAAAAACAAAAACAAATCATGTAACATAAGTCATCGTCATAACAGACCCGTATTAACATTTCTGCAACTAAAACAAAAAATTATATAGAAACATTAAACTTCAGCCACAAGCAATGTATCAGTGCCACAGCCTAATAATAAATTTCGCAGTCAATCAATAGCGATAGACTGCATTTATGCATGCGGGTCTTTGCAAATAAGAGGTAACAACCATGAAAATACAAAAAAAGAATGGAGAAACATGTAAAAAGGAAAGAAAATCTAATCAATAATTCCAATCAATCGACATGACCCGGAGAAAACCTTCAAGGCTTCAACTTGAGAATAGAAAGCACAGGGAAGACGGAGGGAAAAAGTGAGAAACGAACCCCATCTGAGGCGTCCGACCCAAACCGTTGTTGAGCTGAAGTATACCATACTTGGAAGTGTCGTAAATGGAGTGAAAGTCTGAGGTGAAGATCGATTTCTCGTAGGTCTGCAAGAGAGGTGCCACGCGCGCACAAATTGAAACAGAGGAAGCACTGAGGAAGAAGATAATAACCAGACACACACAAGCAGAGTTGCTCTGTTTCAGCTTTGCCATGGATGAAATTCACCTAACCTTCTCAATCCACTCTTCTTGCTTGCATTATCGGGAAGATACAGAGCAATATATAAACTTGAGAGCAAGAACTGAGCGAAGACCAAAACCAGACAAACCTGTTGCAAATACGGTCCTTTTCTTTCGTGACAGGTCATCAACAGGCCTGTTTTTTTTTTTTTCCAATCATTTTTGGATAATGGATAAATATTTCATTTGAAAATTAATATTAATATTAATAATACTCATTAATTACTAATTATTTCTAACTCTAACACTAAACACTTAATTAAACTTTTTTTTTTTTCCCAATACGAAGTTTGTGACTCAGTCTTATATATTATGGGGCCTTGAGGTACCAGTCTCTTAAAAAATAAAGGAAGAAGATGATGAAGAAAAAGGATCGTTCTGGATTTTATTTTTTTTTAAATAGAGGATAACTCTTGTTTTTGGATCAATTTTGGGAGGGCCCCACTAAAGATAAATCAATTTGTTTAGAAGCGTAATGAACACATTAATGATCATGTGCACTGCAGGATTCTTTTCATGGCGATGATGATTAAACATGATTCAATTTTGTTTTTGGCGTTTAATGCTAAAAATATTAAAAAAATATAAAAGTAAAATCTACAATTATGGAGGCAGAAAAATTGCAGATGCCACAAGAGCACGGGGAATAATCGTAGTTGGGAAATTATGAACAGTAAAAGCCTGGATTATACAATTATAAATGTTGACACATGATTTGTTGAATTATTAAGATTGTTTTTTTTTTTTGCCTGAATTATTAAGATTGTTACTTTACCGTTAATTATATGAATTATGTTTGTGCTTAAATTCTGTGGAGTTGGTTGAAAACAAAAATACGTCATATTAAAAGTTGACAAAGCATATACAAGTCACCTTTATATGCTTTTAGAGAATATTTCCTGCCCTGACCGATTGATTTGTGGTATTGGTCCTTCTATTAGATGTCCCAAAAGCTAACTATCAAATCTCTAGCTGTCTGCATAATTTTAGCCTATCAGATCATTGTGATAGGTTAAAGTATACATTGAGTTGTTTAACTTTATGTAAAACTTTAGTTTAGTCTCTTAATTTTAAAAAGTACACTTTTAGTCTTTTAACTCTAAAATTATTAGTCTTAAATGATAATTTTTTGTAACAATCATAGTTGTTTTGAATGTTAAGCTTAATATATTAGCATTTAGTACTGTTTTATTTGCATTTAAAAATTTAATATCATCATTTTTGTTAACAGTTTTAGGATTAAAGGACTTTATTTTTTGAAGTTAAAGGACTAAAATAAACCTTGCTGAAGCTAAAAAGTTAAAAATATACTTTCCATTTTGTTTTTACATCTCTGTAAGAGGCTCTGTCACCCTATATTATCATTTTAATACAGACTCGTGAATATTAATTAATCACGGTAAATATCCCTATAACTTGCATTTCATTATAAACAAAAAACAGTGAAAAGATTTTAATTGTTTCAAGGATTGCTTTATTTGATTCCCCCCCCCCCAAAAAAAAACACAGAAGTGAATGGAAAACAAAATTTCTCTTGAAATTATTTAGAAACGGTGTTATGAATTGCTGCATCCGGTTTTTAATATGAGAATTATTTGAAAACTTAGATTTAGTTATAAATATAAAATCCTAATTAATTTTGTGCTCCAAATCTATAATGTTTTATCTAAAATATTCTTATCAATGTAAAGAATTCCCACAAAAAATTAATTTCAATACACATAATTAAATATGCAAATTTATTACAATTAACCAATTTAACTAATTTTTTTATCTTTCAAAATTAGTTATCTAACTAACTCTTATATTAAAGACACGAGATAGGAACTTATTCCATGCTAAACACATTCTTTTTTTAGTGTATGGAATGTAAAATATTCCTACTATTCATTAGCATAAGAAATATTTTAATTTTATCAATTGAATTAAACTGTACCTTTTGGCCGAAAAAGAAAATGGTCCCCAATTGCTTGGCTTGCTGTTCTTCAATTCCCCAAGTCATTCGAACACCGACAGCTATGAGCCTGTGAGTAGAAAGAAGAACGGTAGGAAATGGATCATCTCCTCTGCTCTTCCCATCCTCTCACTAGAATGGCAGGTTGCAGAGGAGTTGCCGCTTTTTTTTTGGGAACATTTTCCCCCATTGTTTAGATTTTGGGCCTGATAGTGAATACGGATTTCCTTGTTTTGGGCCTTAGGCCCTCTTACACACCCAAAAAAACAATACGTTCCTGGTCTTCTGGTGTGCGTGCTTTTCTTCTGGGCCTGTTCCAATGGAGTGCCCAAACAATTTGACGGAAAGATCTATATTTCCATCTTTCATGGGCTTCAGACCCATTTTACTTCAATGAGGTTCCCCCTTATTCGAGTTCATGTGATGAGGCCCAAGGCCCGATTGAACAAGAAAAAAAACGGCCCGACATCCCATAATTTAATTGCTTCCCACAGCACCCCAAAAAAAAAAAAACAGAGAACTTTAATAAGTTATTTCCCCTTAAAAGAATATTTCTGAAAGAACTTAAATATTCATTGACATACAATTCGTTATTCAATTCATTCAATAAAACTAATACATGTGAATAGATATTTTAATGAGAAAATAGAAAGAATGACAAACCAGAAAATCCAAATGCCACGGATATTTTTTTTCTTTTTATTTTCTCCAGTAGAAAAAAGAAAAGTGAATTGCAGGAATTTTCACGTAGATGCAATTATAGAGCTCCTCTAATCTTTTAAAACTACGGATTCACTGCTCCAAGTTTCTTGATTCAGTTTTATCTCTTTTATCTAATTTCTCTCCTCATTCTATTCATGTTGTTTCCTTGCCCTCTTTTCTTAGTTATTTTGAGCAGTTTATTTGCCGGTTGTCTTATTGTAACCTTTAAACGCTTCTTCTCCTCAGTCTTATATATAAACATATATACAAATATATATATATATATATATATCATTTTGTCTTAGTCAAAAAAAAAAGAAAAAGAAAAAGAAAAGTGAAATGTGGTTCCGACGAGAAACCAGCAGGTCAGGCAACAAGGCCAAAATGCTTCAGCCTCTGAGGACTTTGTCTTTGATTAGCCTTTGCATCTGGCGGTCAACTAAGAAAATCAGAGTCAATAACAACGAGTGCCGCTGGTCATATCTGGCGGCTCGCATGTATGTATACACAATCCATGTACAGACATTGCCTCGTCAAAAACAACACACTACCACCAGTACTTAATATAAAATTCTGTTTAATTTTTATCTTAAATATAAGATCATAATTTATTTTTTTATTTATTTTTTCTTAAAATAGTCATTCTAATAATGATAATTATAGACAATACACTTGATTGATTAGTAAAGATATTTTAAGAAATATAACATCTATTTATTACAAATAAATAACTTAACTTGTTTCTTTAATCTACTCAAATTAGTCAACTAGCTTTTATATTTAAGACCGGAGGTAGTAACATATATTTTAAGACCTAGAATCTGGCCGAAGTTATTATGGATATTAATCCTAAGATAAATAAGTGATGACGCCAAAATAAAAGGCAATTATATAGATATTAGAGTGCTTGCTATTTAATTTGAGGCAGAGCTTTTTTTTTTTTTGGTGGGGGGAAGAGGATGTTCTCATTTCTTAGCAAAGTTTAAAATGACAAGAGTCCCGTGAAGAATGGTTAATTTGTGGACGACGCCGGCCAAGCCGAGGCCGTGTACATATTGGCTCAGTGGATGGCAGTGCTTCCAAAATAATACAGGGATGAAAAAAACAAAGAAAAAGGAGAAGCTATCAACCATTTTACAAGACAAAGGTAGCATTTTGTCAAAGGTAATGTGGATGGTTGGATTATTACAAGACTTGAAGATCAGAGATGTAAAACCAATAAACATTTGTTGTGACAAGAAGGCAATAATGTTACATCCAGTCCTTAGTATAAAATCCGGTTGGTTAATTTAAAAAGATTAAAAAAATATTAAATTATTTAATTACAACATATATTACATGATATCTTTAATATATTTATGTGTATCATTAAATTATATATCAATTCATAATTGAGTCATATTAACTTGGAGAAAAATGATAAATATAAATACGTTAAAGTAATTGAGTAATTTTATTACTCTTCTCAAATTAATCAATTATATCTTATAGGTAGTGATAGTATAATTCAACTAGCAACTAACCCTATTTTTTTATCAAAGATTTTTTTCTCTAAAGTATAGATATTCTCTTAACAGAGGCAATCATATTCGAGACACCGTCAGGAACTAAATGTGATCATCTCTTCGAGCGATGATTCAAACTTTGGTTCGTTATGCTGTGGGAACTAACTATTCTGTTAGACCCAATTCCTCTTGATTTTACCAAAGACTTTTTTTTTTTTTGCCGTTGATTTTACCAAAGAATTAAACATATGGAAATAGGTTGTCATTTGGGTCTTTTAAGATATTGGGCCAGGTCCGTCTATATTTTATCTTAACATTCGTGTTAAATTTCTTATTCTGCATTTATTTTGGAGCCATGTATGCAAGTGGTTGGCTCATATTGCTCTGTTTCGTCAATCGGTATAGTTTACCTTTTTTTCTTCCCCTCTAAAGTTCAACATAAACAAAGGGGGGGAGAGAGAAGATGACCATCATTATTGTCAATTTTAATCCGCTAACATCAAAATCTAGAGAATATTAAAATTCTTCATTCTCCAATTTCTTGAATTTGACCAAGATGTTTCTGTAAAATAATCATCTAGGAGCCTTTGGTTTGCTTTATATCGGCCACTTCCCAGCCTCTCTCTTTCACACACAAACCAAGGGGAAAAAACACTCAAGAGATCTAAATATTTAGCTTCTCATTTAGGTTTCGAATAAAATAGTAGTGTGATTTTCAGCCATGCCTTTCGTGCTCTGAAAGCTAAACCTATAAAATCTTCTTTTTTTTTCTACGACAAAAAATAGGCGGTTGAAAACCACTTACATGTACGTCAAATAAATTATTTATTTTTAACGTGGTTTCAATTTCAATTTTCAACACTCGAAATAAATATTAAACATGCCTCTACGCACCGTCTTTTCATT